ACACACACACACACACACGCACGCACACACACACACACATACACACACACACGAAAACAGCTGAAGACGACGCTTGCCGGCGACCTGAAGCGGTTTTCAACCGCGCTGGAACAGGATCTGCTGGACGACCGACCAGACAAGCTCAACCTGGTGTACGACAAGATCAAGATGGCGGTGGACGGGCTGATGCGCTCGATTGAAGAGGACCAGCTCACGCCAGGCCTCTTCCGCGATATCTCAAACGACGTCGGCAAGCTCCTCGACGTACGTACATCAGACACACACACTCACTCACTTACTCACACACACACACACTTACACACACACACACACTGACTGACTGACTCACTCACTGACTGACTGACTGACTCACTCACTCACACACACACACCATCACACACACACTCTCTCCCGCTCTCCCCTTCCCGTATCGTCCTCACACAACCACCACCGCCGCCGCCGCCACTGCTGCTACTTGTATCTCGCTTTGGTTGAGCAGAAGTCGATACCGGACGTGCTGTCGCGCGAACGGATACGGGAGCTGCTGCAGATTATTGCTCGCCCCGCTCGCCTTCTTGAGTGCCTTGCCTTCACCCCAGACCCCGTCAACCTCGGTGAGGTGTTTGCTGTGTAGTGGTGGATGGTGGCCTTTGTGTGTGCGTGCATGTGTGCATGTGTCTGCGGGTGTGTTTGTGTGGTTGTGTGGCTGTGTGGCTGTGTGGCTGTGTTGCTGTGCACGTGAGCGCGTGCACCTGCACGCATGCTTATTGACCTTGATCGTTCGTCTGTGTGCGTGTGTGTTTGTGCAGACTTTACGCGGGACGAGGCGCAGGACCGCATGAAGCAGCTTGTGGCGGAGGGAAAGCACCACATGCCAACATACATCCTCTCCAAGCTCACAACACACTTTGGGCCCGAGTCTGATGCTGATCAGGTGCGTTTAGGCGCAACCAAGGGGGTTGCCGTGGTTGGTTGTGGTCGTGTGATCGTGTGGTTAGTTGCAGTCGTTATGCGCGTTGTTGCGCGTTGTTGCGCGTGTGATTTAGAGTGTTGTTGTTTCGTGCCGTGTCACCCCACACAAGCATGGCTAATATACCTCATGCGTTGCCGCTGCACAGGTTGATGCTGCCAGCAAGTACGAGCCCGACCAGACAGCGCTGGTCCAGTTTCTCGCAGAAACGCCCGAGGTGAGAGGTGATGGTGATGGCTTGGGGTACATGGCTGCATACTGCCGTGTGCGCAAGCCGCTCTGTGTTTCATTGTTGCATGTGTGTGTGTGTATTGTGGTGCTGCGGTTTGCAACCAGGGCAAAACAACGCGCGAATACTGCCCAACCGCGCGCGCGCACACATGCACACAACACTAACACATAACATGCATGCACATGCACACACACGCTCACACACGAACACACACGAACACACACTCCCATACATCTGCACTGCGCAACAGCCCACGCGACACGACTTCAAGTTCCACTCGCAGCTGAGTGCGGGCGCGTATGGGGCGGTGTGGCTGGCGACGCACAAGATTACGGACGAGAAGGTGGCCATCAAGGTGCTGAACAAGCAGAGCGTCGTGAACAAGAACGTGGTCAACCAGGTCATGGCCGAGCGCGACATTCTGCAGTTTGCACAAAACCCGTTTGTCATCAACCTCCTCTGCTCCTTCAGCACAAGGGTGTGTAGGTCGCTGCCTTGTTCATTCTTGCACCTGTGCACATGGCTGCATGTGGCTGCGTGTGGCTGTGTTTTTCGTCTTGCAGCTTGTTTTGGTCCGTGGATTGTTGTCGAAGTGTTGCTGATGGTTCCAACACTCAATCTCTCCCTCAAAACAAACAACCGAATCTTCCCTGCTCACCACCTTCGTCAACACCACCTTTCCCCCGCAACCACCACCACCACGTTACGCCTGCAGGACTCGCTGTATCTGGTGATGGAATATGCCCCCGGCGGCGACCTTGCTGCCCTTATCAAGAACCTCAACACCCTCACCCTGCGTGAGGCGCGCCGCTACTTTGCCGAAACCGTGAGTGGTTGAGCGATCGTCACAGGAGGCTTGCTTCCCTTGCCCTTGCTCTTGGTCATAGCGGCCTTGCTTGTTGCCTGATTTCACTTAAGCTGTTCACTTTGTGTGTATTTGCTCCACCTCTCGCCTCACTGACTGCCAACCCCAACCAAGCCCCCAACTCAAACCACATTATCGTCATCATCATCACTGTTGCTATAACGTCCTTCCGAACATTCCCGCTCACGCTCACCACGCTCACCACCGCGTGCTGTGCCAGGTGCTGGCGATTGAGTACATCCACGACTTTGGCATTGTGCACCGCGACCTGAAGCCCGACAACATCATCATCGGCGCCGACGGCCACATCAAGCTCACGGACTTTGGGCTCAGCAAGATTGGGCTCATGACGCAGACGACGCTGTTTGCAGAGGACTCGCCGCTCGTCACCACCCCGATGGCGACGTTCAAGGACTCGCAGGTGCTGGGCACCCCAGACTACATTGCGCCCGAGGTGATTCTCGGGCAGGGCTACGGGCAGCCCGTGGACTGGTGGTCAATGGGCGTGATTCTGTTTGAGATGGTCATGGGCATTCCGCCCTTCCACGCAGACTCTGTGCAGGACATTTTCAACAACACCGTCAACCAGCCCCTCATGGTGCGTGCGTGTGTGTGTGTGTGTGTGTGTGTGTGTGTGTGTGTGTGTGTGTGTGTGTGTGTGTGTGTGTGGAATGTTATGATGTCTGTGTATCGATTGAGCCGAGCGTTGTTCTGCTTGATGGACACATCAACACACCTCTTGTCGCTCGCTGCCGGTCGCACCTCGCCCATCTCACCTTTGCACGATCCCTCTCACATGCTCCCTCATCACCTGTGTTTCCGCTGCACACGCACACACACACGCACACACACACACGCACGCACGCGCACACACACACACACACACACACA